GTTTCTATTGCGTAACGTCACGTGATTTTCAGATTGGTTTTATGCTCTGCTCAGTGCGCATGCGTCGATTTGTTTATTTGCTTGTAGATGCTGTAGAATATGAAGAAGCTGTTACAGTAGTATTTGTATTAGCATTACCAGAAGTAGCTGATACGCATATATTCACATTTACATTAGAGTTTTGCATTTTTTATATATGCAAGATAATTATTTAGAAATTTTTTTATAGATTTAGCGTAGCATTGATCTCTTTCAGAGATTATTCAATTCTTTATTATCAACCCATGAGTTAAAAGTATCAGGATACCCATACCACTTTACAAATGATTTATTTCCTTGTTTACGAATAACCTTTTCAATTCTAAATATCTCTTGACTTGTTTTTTGAAGTTCTTGTTCATAAAAAGTACCTTGTATTTCTTCATTATTATAATCAGTTATTTTATAAGTAGGTGGATCTGTGTACTGAACTTGTGATACTGTGAATACTTCTTCAGTCCATCTTGGTGTATATCCTTTTTCAAACGCTCCTTTCTTTTTAATTATTCTCACTTTATCACCTATTGAAAACTTGGGTTTGATAGGATTAGATATCACTTTACCATTTAGATTCAGCCAAACAATGTTCTCATTCTTTTTATCGCTTGCTTCAGCTGGAGTCATTTTAATTGAAGAATGCTTTGTGTTGTTGTATTGATTTACCATTTCATTTAAAACATCGATGTATTTTCTCGTAGAATTAGCAGAAAAGTATTTGAACATTTTTTCTTTCATTGTTCTATTCCATCGTTCAACAACGCAACTTTTTTCTTCATTTTCAGTTGAATAGAGCTGCACACCTAATGCTTTAACATGTTTGTTATAAAATTCCAAACCTTTATCAACCCATAATTTATCGCATTTCCTAATTTTAAAGATTTTATTCAATGCAATAGCAACTTCGATTCCAGTTTTACTTTTCAGTGGAATTATCCATCCATACTTTGAAAATATATCAATTACCATTAATAAGTATTTTATACCATTATTAAATTTAGAATAAGCTTGCATGTCAACTAAATCAGCAGCCCATATTTCATCAATTCCATTTACAATCACTTTTCTTTTTCTAAAATGTTTTATAACAGGTTTATGAAGTTCATTTGCAAGTTCATCAGTCCATTTCAGGTCGTTTGCTTTTTTCCTGTGCGCTGGTAGTTTTTTTGACATAATTCTTTAATACTCATTGGTTCTTTATTTCCCATACCAAACCTTACTTTAGCAGATATGATAGGTTTTATAATCTTTCTTTCCAATTTTTCACGAGGTGTAGGATTAGGTATAGCATCCATTTGTTCAAGCATCATTTTATCAGCTAAATTTCTATGCTCTTTGTCTGGATAATGCTTATAAGCAAGATCATGAATATAAGCTGCTTTATCAACTTTATCTACAGGCATGCTCCATTCTTTAGGCATTTCAGTAGAAGTTAATCTTTCATCTAAATTAGTGCCAGGTCCTGCAAAGTTCATACCTGGTAAATGCATTTCACCTTTAAACTTTTGAAAAGGTAATTTTTTATTCTTTGTAAAATTATTAATAGATTCCACTAAATCACCACCTTTAGTTCCTTTTGTAAATTGAGTTTTTGTTGTTCCACATAGTGCACAATTTCCACGAAGCATATTTCTATTGTTTTTACTTACAACATGTTGTAAGTTGAGTGTATCTGTTTTGTTTTTACATTTAACGCAATACATTTTTTATTACTTTATTTTTATTTAATTTAAAAAAATTATTTATATAAGAAAATGGAAGTATTAGATTTATCATATAATGTAAATAAAAATAATCGTCATAATAATGATTTATTACCAAGAAGTATAAGAGGACTTATAGTTGGGAAGTCTGGTTGTGGAAAAACAAATTTATTATTGAATTTACTTATAAGACCTGATTGGTTAGACTATAATAATTTACAAGTTTTTGGAAAATCTCTTTTTCAACCTGAATACAAAATATTAAAAAGTTCTTTTGAAAAAAAAGTACCAAAAGAAGATATTCTTAAAATATTTAAGTTACAAGATAAAATAGATAAGATGGAAATAAGCCCTGATCTTGTAATTGAAGTTCATTCAAAAAATTTAAAAAATAAAATAGATATGGAGTGTCAGTTTTATGAAACAGCAGATGATGTACCAGAACCTGAAGATCTTGATCTTACTAAAAATAATTTAATGATATTCGATGATTTACAATTAACAAAGCAAAACAAGTGTGAAAAATACTATATAAGAGGAAGGCATAGTAATGTAGATTGTTTTTATTTAGCGCAAAATTATTTTATGCTACCAAGGAAAACAATAAGAGAAAATGCAAATTTTATATGCTTGTTTAAACAAGATTCCAAAAATGTAAATCATATTTATAATGACCATGTTTCAAATGATATGTCAAAAGAAGAGTTTAAAAATTTTTGTAAAATAGTTTGGTCAAAACCACATAAATTTATTGTTATTGATTTATCATCAGATGTGAAAAATGGAAAATATAGAAATGGTTTTGATCGTTTTTATTTTCCTTTATCTGTATTAAATGGTAGATCCTGAAAGGATCCAACGAAGTCTTGGTTCTTTCAGAACCTATGCTAAATGAAATATATATTTTAATAAATATATATTTAACTAAAGAATCCAACCTAATAATGGGATATTTTTAAATGGTGAATTTTCACCTAATATTAAACCTTTTCCTACTTTTTTATATTGTTTATCGTTTCCAGTTCCTTTTCCATAATAGTAGTAATACCCATTTCCTAAATACCTTCCTTTTTTCCATTCATCTATTAGTAATCCTTTTCCTACTTTTCTAGCTTTAATAGATCTTTTATTATCTTTAATATACAAAACACCTTTTCCAGCAATTTTATTAACTATAGCATTTCCAGCAGCTGCAGCTGTTCCAGCTAATAATGCTGTTGCAGTAGTTTTAGCAATTACTGGAGCAGCACTTGCTAAAAAACTTAAAAGTAAAGGTAGAAATCCACCTTCCACTTTAGAATTATGCATTAGATTTTCTTCATTTAATTCAATTGTTATACCTTTTTTATTTTTAAATGCATTAATTACTTTCTCTAATTGTTTGTGTGTTAGAGCTACTACATCTTTAGCATTTTTATCACTTAGATTTTTAAAAGTTAATTTTATAGTAATTTTTTTTGAATCATTCTCAAGTTCTTTCTTGATTTTCTTCTTTTGATAATCTGAAATTTTAAATTTAATATTTTTATAATCTGTCATTTTTTATATATGCACAATTTTTTTAATTTATTTTAATTCCTTTGAATCTACATAAATCTTGTTATCTTAAGATATCTAAATCTATTTTTTATATTTTAAAATGTTTATCAATTCTTTTAGAAGTGATACTTGCTCTTTTAAAATAGATTCTTGCTCGCATTTAGAAGTTCGTTCTCTTATATGAAATTTCATTGTTATTCTTTCTCCTTGCACATCAATTGGATTTTCATCTTGATCAATTAACGAAGTTTCCATATCACGAATATCTCCTCTTAGAGATATAGGTAAGTAAATGGGAACATTGGGTTTTTCTACAAGTTTAGCTCCAGGAGCCACAGAGGGGTAAAACGTATAAATAATATTGCTAGGTGAATTATCTAAATAAGATCCTGATATAATACTATTTTTTACATGTATAGTATTAATATGATTTATATCTAATACTTTTACAGATTCATAAACACCTGCAGTATATATTTTACTTTCAAAACCTAAAAGATTTCTGATTGAATTTTCAATTGTAAAATCAACTGCAAAATTTGTTTCAATACCCATTGTAACTTTAAATGTTATTGTACTTCCTACAAAAGTAATTGAATTCA